TACTAAAAGAATTTAATAACTTGGTTTATTTTATTTCAATAAATTACGGGTAAGATATTCTAATATCAAGGATATGAGGTAGTACCTTCTGAATGTCCTCAATCTCATCCTCTCTGCAGAAAACAATAAGTAAAAGAAAACTTAACATTAGTTGCACGGCTTGATGAAAATCGAATAGATAGGAGAAGCAAACTCTATGCTCCAAGGAGATTGATTAGTAATAACCACGCAGAAAAATTATGTTTTTCTTAAAAATAAATAAATAAACCATTAGCATGACCACAGGCAGAATGACTTCACTTAATTAAGTTAGTAAGTAAGCAGCAGCAACCATTTACAAAAGTACAGTCATGCATGACAATGCAACATTCAGAAGGTTGGTAATCTGAAAATCCAGTGTCATCTTCAGTCAGTAAAATGGTCCCAGAATGCTAGTTCATGCATTCACACTACATGACCAAATGTCACATCATGGGCAACTTAATGTCTAATTAAATACACTCCCAAGTCACAACTGAGTCAGGCTGTTTCAAGTGCTCGGGCTATAACTACTTGGTCTTCATTTATGTAACAAAAGCATTAACTTTTTTTTTCCCAGTTCAAATCAACATTCCTTTTTGCCTTCACTAATAATATATTTATTAACACAATGTTGGGAAGTTTTGTGTGCTTTATGTAATTTTTTAGTTTATCATGTCTTCACCCACTAAAAGCAATGAAGGAAGAAAGAAAAGCAACTATTATGGCAATGGACTGGAATTCATCCCATGTAGTTCAAACAACAAACACAGAACATTGAAAAACACAGGACAAAATATCACATCTTGTGGCAAAGATCAATTAAAAACTACAATAATACCATTATCAATGATCAATTAAAAACAAGTAGTCCACTTGATAATTCATAAAGCCACAGCTCATAAATTAGGCATTGAATGAATCCCTAAAGTATAATTTCGAAAATTAACCCAACTGAATCCCTAATCCCTAAATCCCTAAAGTAGAATTTAGAAAGAAAAAAAAATTGAAATTGAATGACCCGAAGAAGAAGAGAACTAGAGAAGTAGGTGGTTCAGGTCAGTGGTATGGAGGATTACTGAAATTTGAAAAGGGAGAAGAAGAGGACTTACAGAGAAGGAGAGGGAGAGAGAGAGGACCCTAGCAAAAAATGGAGCCCATGAATGCCACTACTGTTGCAATAATAAGAAAAGGGGATCAATGAATTATAACAGATAGAGAGTACAAAACCAATATCAAAACTCACCGCTGTGGAGAACGACGATGGAGGTTGCGACTGTGGCTTGGCTGTGGAGTCGCGATAGTGGCTTCGCGGTGAGGTCGTCAACGGAGGTCCTGAGTTGCGGCGGCTTGGCTAGGTCAAACTAGGGTTCCGAATTTGGTTTGGGAGAGTGCGAGAGAGGAGAGGAAGCGTTAGAAAATAAATTTTTGGGGTGATAAAGTGTCAATAATAAAAAAAAAGACTCAAAACCCTCTCTGTCTGTGTTGGTTGAGTTTGGTTTTTTGATAACCTCAAACCAGAGATGGAGAGAGAGAGAGAGAGAGAGAGAGAGAGAGAAGATGAACATATTGCAGAGTGAGTGGCTTGTGAGGAAGGAGAGTCAATCAGGATGAGAGAGAGCATGCTTTGCACTTTCGGATTGCATCTTTTGATATGGGTAATTTCAACCCGATTGTACTATAACAGTTCAACCATGGGATCGATCTGATGGCTATAAAGTGAACCCCTTATAACTTACCCCTCATTATAGTCTGAGCCTGCACGGTGGTTCGCAACATTATAGTTCGAAAATTGTTGCACGAATTAACTTTTTGAATAAGCGCAGACCAAAAATTTTGGGTTTACAGTGGGCTCGCGAATGGCCTTATGAGTCGGGCCTATTGAGCTTTTTACTTTTTGGGGCTGTGCCGGACTAAGCCTAGGTTTCAAATGTCTAAATCGAGGCCCACCCACTCAGCCACAATGATGTAGCTTCCTAAGACAAACAATGTAAACAAACAGACGCGTTTGTAATGGCGTGTTTTTTATTTATATTTATAGGCTTCGATTGAAACCTACAGAGAAAGGAGAGGGTTGGCTTTGTTAGAAACATGTGTTAGGTTAGGATTGCTCTCTCTCTCTCTCTCTCTCTCTCTCTCTCTCTCTCTCGGGTCGTTTATTCTTTATACGATATATTTTGTAAAATTACAAGTTTACCTCGTATGGCCCCTCTAAATAGATATCTTCAAAATTTGGGGCTTAATAATACGCTAGAGCTAGAAAAAGAAAGATTATTAATATGGAGATTTGATTCTAATACATGAAAGGAAATAATCTTTATTTTTTATTTTATTTGGTGCAATGCAAGTTTATATTAGCTGTAATAGCCCCTTCTAACTCAAATTTTATACGGTCATACTAAAATAGGCCATAAAAATCAAGTTTACCCCGTATGGCTTTGGAGAGTATAATTTTTCAAGGTTTTAACCAAATCCTACTTCAATTTGTTTCCCCTTTTTTTTTCATAAGGTCAAATTTGTTTCCTTAATTTCTGAATTATTTAAGGTAATGCGCTAAAGAAAAAAAAATTAATTTGGAGACTTAATCAAGGTTTTCGATTAATTAGCTTAACCTGTAATCTTCCAATTGCATTCAAATCAATCTTGGGGAGTGATGGATCCATGATTCTTAGGACATGGGGTCATGGTGTAAAGGTTTCGAAAAAAATTTTAAAACAAAAATAACATTGAAAAATTAAACAATTTCATTCCTAATCAACTAATCAAAGCACAAAACAGGTATAAAAAAAACCCTATGCACAAGACCCAAATCAAATTTTAAAAAAAGCCCTCATAAACTAATAAAAACACAAATATTAATCAATTAATGAAAATACTATCAATAACACCTTAATCAATTGTTGACGAGAGGAGGAAGAACTATTCATTTGGGGGGTTAATGAGGGGTATTTGATACTAAGGCTAGCTATGGGTCGTGTCGTGTTAAGATTATATACATGTCAAGAATGCTTAACCTAAACCCGACTCGTTTAATAAACGTGTCATGCATGGGTTGACCCGTTAAGTTCTCGTGCGGGTTTCAAGTCGTGTCGGATTGACCCGCTAAGAGGTAGCAACAAAAAGACATTAAAGAAAAATTAGAAAAATGAAGAATAAACAAATAAACGGGTTAGTGGGTTGGTGGGTTACACATGTATTTTTAGGGGTGGCATTTTAGACTGAAAAACCGTAAAAACCAACCGACATTATACCGCATTGGAACCGCAATAGCTAAAAACCGACCGAACATTGAGGTTTTGGAAACCGAACCGCAATTGCGGTTGCGGTTGCGGTATGTGATTTTGGCAACTCGCGGTTACCGCAAACCACAAATATATATTTTTTAATCTATTATTAATATGCTTTTATGTTGTTGCTTTTGTGTTGTGTTGTGTTATAGATTGAGTCTAGTCACTCTAACACACCTAATGCCTCTAATCCCCCAAACACAAACCGATACACCCGAAACACAATCTCCACTCTAACTCATAAAGAAGGGCTCCTTCTTATAATAAAATCCACTCACCACCACCTACACTTGAGTTCTTCTTTTGGTTTGTAACTTTAATTAACTTTGAATTGGATTTTTCTTTAGATTGTGAATGCTTGAGAAGTTGAGGTTGTGAATTTATATTTTTTGGTTAAAGTATACTTGAACTCAAAAAGCTTCAAAAGAAGCATCAAACCTAGGCTTAAAAGTGTGGAAGATTGAATTTTTGTGACACAAAAGGACCACACTTAAATATCTAAATTGTCTAATTTAGGCCTAAAATATTCAAATCGGTTTAAACAGTTAATTCACGGTAATCGACTGATTTTTGCGGTCAGTTTGCGGTTTCAAAAATCACCTTATCGCAAATAGTTGGTCGGTTTGCGGTTTGGAGAAAAATTTGCGGTTACCGAACCGCAACCACCCCTATGTATTTTAGCGGGTTGGTGGGTTACATAAGTATTTTAGTGGGTTGGCGGATTAACCCGCCATGACCCATATAGTTAAATGGGTTGACTGATTGACTCGAAACTCACCCAATTATTAAACGGGTTATGGCGGGTTGACTCGAAAATGACCCGAATTTTAATCATGTGGGTTGAACCTGCTAAATTCTTGTGTGAGTTTCGAGTCATGTAACGGGTCGTGCCAGAAATTGCCACCCATAGATACTAGTACAGTTGTAATATATGAAGAAATTGATTGAAGATCAGCATATTTATAAAGATAAGATCCATATTTCTTTTTTGGTTTAATATGTAGAAGGGAAAAAGGGGGTTTTTTTTTCCCTTTTAAGACCTGGAGTGAACATGAAAAAAAAGGGTGGGTTCTGTTCTTTATCTTTTTTTCTAAAAGCCTGGCTCAAAACGACGTCGTTTTGAAACCAAGTCCTTAAAAAAAATTGAATGCACCTGGATCAAAACGACGTCATTTTGGCCAGGCGCTTAAATTAAAAAAAACTCACGTGTGCTGCTCGCAACAGTAGCAGCAACACAAGGGCTTTCAGACTTTTCATCAAACACCTAGTGTGCACCTTTGGGGTCGCACACCAGCTAGCCATAGGGTCGCCTGAGACCTCCATAGCTACCTTTCTGGCTGCCATGGGGTCAACTAACCCCTCTTGTCCTTCTGTGCGTCCGCCATTGGGTTTAGGGTTATCCAAAAGACAATTAATCGTTAAGTTGCTCCTTATTTTCTTTATATTCTGCATAAGATAAATTTAAAAATTTACCCTATATATGGCTAGGTTGTCACCAAATCTACTTCAATTTGTTTCCTTAATTTTAAAATTATTTGAATTAACGCGCAAGAGAAAAAAAGTACATTAATTTCGAGATTTAATCACTTAAGTGGAAAAAAATTTGGAAATTGAATTACAAATGAAACAATCGTACTCTTATTTAAATTTTGAAAGCTAAGCTATTAATAATAGCTTGAGGGTTTAAGGTTTAGCCTAAACATCTCCTTCCTTAATTTCTTCTTTTTCAACATATGGCAAGCGACATGGCTTAAACTTTTCATCGTCGCTACGATTAGCAAATTGGTTGAGCCCTACTATAAATGACTGCTTTGGACCTTTATTGAAATTCTCCACAAACTCAAACGTCTTTTTGAAGTTGACGGAACGTCTCTCTTTCTCTTCATTACTCGAGTAAACGCGCTTGTACTCAATTATCCAATCCTCGAATGCTTGAGCAAGGTTAGCGTTTGCAAGATTTTGAGGATTTTCCTCGGACATTGCCTCCAAGTTCTTGAGCCCGACAATTACTGCTACTAGGAACAATAATATGACAGTTTCTTAAATCAAAAGTCATTGCCAAACAATAATTTCTTGATCTCCCTATAAAATAAAAGAACATACTACAGAGAAAGATTCAGACCAAAAGAAGACTACAGAGAAATAGGCGTGGGAGGGACAAGGAGAGAGTAGCCTATTATTTATGGGCTCTAATTTAATTTAGAGACTTAATCACTTAACCAAAAAGAAATTTGGAAATTGAACTATAAACGAAGTATTAATTTAATGTGGAGATTCGATTCCAAAAGAGCAGTATGCTCCTCAGGAAAGATAATGTAAGGCAAAACAAATACACGTAAAAAAAGTCCCATTGGATAGGCTACCACCGTTTTGGGCTTAACCCGCTTGACCTATATACTTTCCCCATTCCATTCAAATTTTGCGTTGCCTACCAAAATTATTTTAAGAAGGATTTTTGCTGTTTTGAAATTTAATTTTTAGGAAACAATTAATTATATTTATTCCTAAAAATTATATTTAAAAACAGCAAAAAATCCTTCTTAAAATAAGTTTGGGGAAATACTGCATGAATGACTCAAGCATTTGAAATATCATGATGTCTTTTATGCCAACACGGCATGTTTATTTGTTGCTATTGATGTATTTGATATGTGATATTCTATATTATTGTTTATATCATAATTATTCATTAACTAATACCTTGATGGCTTTCAAACTTCCTATTGTTTCTCTTTTATTTATTTATTTATTTATTCATTTATTTTTTAATTTATGGTTTACGAGTTTTACAATTTTTATATGTAGTAGTCATGACTTCTATTGCTATTTCATATTTTCATACCATTCTAACCTTATCATGGTTTAGTTTTTTTTATTTTTATTTTATTTTTTTAAGCATCGTTTTAATTAATTATTATATCTTATGATGAGTTTGTATTATACAAGAGATCAGGGCCTGAAGTTCCTTGATCGAATCAGAATCTAAAGTTACTTGATTCTAAATAATTGAGGGCTTGAAATTCCTCAATTCCAATTGCACTCATTTGCCGCACGCTAAAACATTTTGTAGATCTTTACCAAGGCCCGATCAAGGGATCTTTACCAAGCCCCGATCAAGGGCAAAGAAAAATCAGCTGAGACATACTAGTTTGAAGTTGATCTTATGGGCTTGCACCTAGTGAATATAACCCACCTTGATGTTTCAGACATCTTCGCTGATATTAATGGAAAATCACACGATTCCATGATTAGTGGTATGTTCCTCCCCAATTAATTTGATATCTTATTTTCTTTTCATGTTTTTGAGCTTAGTTTGGATATTTTATTTAGATTTTTTTTTCCAATTATATTTTTAATTTATTTCTCATTATTAGTTATTTTTAAATCAAGATTATATTTCTTTATCCTTATGTTGGATTGTTAGTTAATGATAATGTTTTTGCATGACCCACAGTATTAATAGTCGGTGTCTATTAGAGAAACTTCATGCTACTTCTTTTGTGGGTTGTATTACACAATTATTAAAGTAGTTGAAGCCCATGTCATTTTATATATTACATTATTAATTAGTTTGGTTGAGGCATGTTTCCAACGAATAACATGGGTTTCTCTCTCTCTCTCTCTCTCTCTCTCTCTCTCTCTCTCATGGGTTCGTTTATTATTTTTACGATTTATTTTGTAAAATTACAAGTTTACCCTGTATGGCTTTGGAGATTAGATAATTTTTCAAGGTTTTCTCCAAATCCGTTTCCTTTTTTGTTTGATAAGGTCAATCAATTTGTTTCCTTAATTTTTGAATTATTTAAGTTAATGCGCTAGAGAAAAAAAATAATTTTAATTTAGAGACTAAATCATTTAAAAGAAATTTGGAAATTGAATTATAAATGAAGTAATCGTACTCTTATTTAATTTTTTCAAGCTAAGCTGTTAATAATACATTGAATATTATGATGATAGAGGAAGAAAAAGCTAGTTAGCCCAGCACATTGGCTTTTTGTTGTTGATTCCTATATATGGCTATGGGGCTCATCAACAAACATCTAAAAAGTATAGAAAATTAAGTCTTGAAAGTTTTAAACTTGTAGAAGTGTACACATTGCCTTCTTTCGAGAGATGAAATTGCATGTGAACTTGACCCAAAGTATACACCAAATCCCATTCCAATTTTTTTCTTAATTTCAAATTTTGAGGCTTAATAATCTCCACCTAAATTTAAGACTCCCTTGAAACCACCTCAAATCGAAGACAGAGATAATTAAATAAAAATCTTAACTGAATTGACTGATCAAAATTTTAATCCAATGAAACAAAAACAAAAAAGAGGACATATTTATTAATACTTGTCTAGTATAATCAGCCTTGAAGAGGATTGAGCAGCTGCCCAATGAACAACACCGCTCCAGTCATTTCCTCTCTGATCAAAAACAGGAATGGGTGATCTGCCACAAAGTCTACCGTCTTCCTAGGCTTACATGCTGCGAACGAATCAAATATTCTCCCTGATTTGGATGAGAGTGCTCAATGCAATCAAATTGTTACAACTTACACACTGAGAGAGAGAGAGGAGAGAGAGAGAGAGAGAGAGAGAGAGAGCATTAAGAATGGAACGTTTAATATAAATTGCTTGGCCTGAAAAGGCATTCAGGAATTGGTCCTTGTATTAGTGAATATACAAGAAAAATCTGATTATGAGTTACCAGGGTGTTACAGCACTGTACAACCAGTTGATTAGCAGCAAACAGGGCAGTTAGAGACCAGCATCATCCTCCTCCTCCTTTACACAGCAAAGTCCAAAACACATTATGCCAGGATTTGAAGAACACAGCAAACTAAAGACTCGTCAGGGAAAATAAAGGTCAACAATCCTGATTGGAATTAATATGGACCCAGCTATTCAAAATCCTTACTTGAAAACTCTATCTTCTTTTTTTTAATTTACTTAGGAAAGATGACATCAAGGAAAATATTTTGAAGCATTTTCAAATGGAACTTTTTCCATTTACCTCAACTCTTTTTATATTACTTGGTTTCGGTTTTGATGATTTGCTAGCATAGCAGTATTAGACACTACCATCCAATCAAAATTCACTTCTAATTGGGGATTTTAAATATAAATGGAGACATTAATAGACTTTTCAAGGGGCACCTACTGCAGCTGGCCCAAAATAATAGCAAATAAGGTCTGGTTCCATTTAGCAAGTGATTCAGCAACTTTATCAAACCCTATTAGTTAGTATTTCAGGACAAGATCATCAGACTAGGAAGGTTGATTCACTAGTGACCTGCCACATGAATGTGAAAACAGCGTAATCCTAATTCCACGCCAACCAAAAGCTCATTATCTTTCAATTTCGAACTAGTTCCGGTACCCTTCTAGGATGTGGCATCCAGGGGTAGGCGCCAGGGAGCTAGGCAGCGTCTGGGCTGGCCTAGGTGGCCCTAGGCTGCCCAAGTCGGCTCTAGGCGGCCCCTGGTGGCCCTAGGAAGGTCCTAGGCTGCCCTAGGCGGCCGTAGGAAGGTCTGGGCAGGCGCTTTGCCATTGAGGCGTGGACGAAGGGCGGTTGAAGTGCGCAGGATCCGCTGCTCGTTAGGAAGAAAGAGAGAGAGAGAGAGAGAGAGAGAGAGAGAGAGAGAGAGATCGACACAGAGAGAGGAAGGAGAAGGCGACGCTGGGAAGAAGAAGATATCTGACCTAATTTTTATATTTGACAAGTATAGCCGGGCATACTATTTTTATATATTATATTTGAACGGTATAGCCGATCGACTATACTATTCATCGGAATAAAATGTTTGAAAAAGGGATTATCACCGCCCGGCTATATTATTAATTTCAGGAAAAAAAAATTTTAAAATGGAGTATGACTGCTTGGCTGTACTCTTTTAATATGGATTATTGGAAAGAGGGCGAATGCCATGGATATTGCAAGGTTTGTCGGGTTTTCTGACATTTTCTTCCGTAATTTCCCCTTATATTGCTGTGTTTCAATTAAAAAAAAGTCCTCAAAAAATTAAACAAAAACAAAACCAAAAGACAGGTATACCCGCGTTAAATAGGATATTTTGAAAGTATAGTATAGCCAAGCGGCTATCTCTATAAATATTTTATTTAAACAGTTTAAATCGCTACGCGGCTATGCTCTTTAAAGAGAATAATCTTGATTTCTCTGTTCTAATTATTTTAATTAGTAGTTATGTTTTAATTATTACTAGCTCCTTTGCACATGCTCATGCATGTGTCAATTGATTTTCTTTTTTATTATTTTTATTATTTTTAGAATTAAAAAAAATAACTTGGGTAGTTATGTTCCATAAAAATAAGACCTATTACTTCATTTTATTTTTAATTTTTTTAATATGAATAAAATATGAATTTACCATATTATCTTCATTTAATTAATAATTTCAATTCTTAATGTTTAAATTAACCAAGAGCATTTTCTGGTATTTTGAATGTTTCACCATTCTCTGTCTTTTGCTTTATATATATATATATTTTCTTAGTGAAAAATTAGTATTTAAATATTTTATTTTAAAAAATTACTATTTATAATTTATGAAGTTAATTAAAGCATAGCAATACTAATTATTTACTAAAGAAATGATAATTAAAACATAATTATTAATTAAAGTAATTAAATAAGGCTAAGAGATTATTTAATTAATAAAAAGAAACAATAGCTTTACTCATGAAAAAACAAAAAAGACCTAGTAAAGCTGACCGGCTATACAATTTCTTTGAAAAAAGAAAAAAATCGCGTATAGCCGTGCGACGATACTTTTATGAAGACAAAAAAAGCAGCCGCATAGCTTAGTTGCCCACGTGTCAAAAACGTTATAGATCAGCAGCTATACTATTTATAAAGGAACATGAATACAACTAGGTATAGCCGGTCGCCTATACTATTTTTTTTTTAAAACAAAAGACCCTGTCTAGCGAGTTGGCGCTTGTGTGTCAAAATAAGTATTGCCGCCCGGCTATATTATTTCAAAAAAATTTAAAAACCGAGTATTGCAGTCTGGCCATACTATTTTTTTTTAAAAAAGGCAGGGTTCCCTAGCGATTAGGTGCCCACGTTTCCAAACAAGTATAGCCGTGCGGCTATACTATTTTTAAAAAAAATTAAGTATATCCGTACGGCTATACTATTTTTAATTAGAAAAAATTCCTAGCACCGGCTATACTACGAATTGATATAACGAGATGCAGTTAAACTGACTCTTTAGATAAGGCTGAAGAGTGACCACAAACTGGGAAGGGTCAGAAGCTGGTACACGAAGTGTTGGATCCACAACACAGAATGCGTGCAAAGCTAGCATATATGGAAACGTCCGCCTCTCTCCTTCTTCATTTCCTCTACCTGACAAATAAGAATTTCTGAACATTCAGATTTAAATATCAACCAAATTGTTTTGGCAAGTCAAGAAGATGGGGGCAAAAAACCTGCAATATCCTTTCCAGTAAGCACTTGCACATTAACTCACAGCGCTTGCGTACAGATGCAAGTGAGACAGGGTAGCTTTAACTGATTGGGGAAAAAAATCAAGGGCTAAGTTGCTTTTAATGACAGTCACAAGAAGTTGATGACTTGGCATCCTCCTCAACATCTCAACAATCTGTTCAGTTTTTTTAGCCACCTCCAATGGAACAGAGCTACCATCTCCAAAGAACTGAGTTTGTGAACCAGTAGGTTCCTCAAACCAGAATTCATAAAATGTCTTGCAAACAATATCCTGTGGAAGAGGAAAAGAATAAAAACTGCGATCTAGCCAAGGACAAACAAATTTTTATACTTATATTTTACATGTCATCAATCCTTAATCCAACACATTCATTGCTTCATAATTACCTTTATACTTGATTCATCGTCGCTAGTACGGGAGATGATAGCAATGCAAGCTTTTGTAAATTCGGAGAAGTTTGCATTTGAAACGCACACATCTCGTATGATTTTGATAGATCGTTTTCGAACACTTACTCCAGTATCTTTGACTCTCTCAGCAACCTACTCAAAATACTAAAAGAAAATGTGGAGAAGATGAAGCAAAATGCATTAATAGAGAATCTACAAAGAACTTTAGTAGGTTTAGAGATCAATTGAGCACACCTACAAACCAACATCAGGATGAGAAGCAATATGCCTCCCTACAAGTTCCAGTGCTGCTTCTCTGACAGAAATTGCGGAATCACAAAACCTTCCTTCAACAGCCGATTGAACGCGTTTGTCTCCTAGCACCTGCAGATCAGCTTCTACAATTATACTGACCTGCTCATCATATTAAGATATTAAGACATTAAATTCTGCCAACATAGCCATAAAATGAATTCTCAATTTCCATTTCAAGGATTAGAAGTCCATAAATATATTTTTTTGCTTACCGCTCGTAAAGCCTTGGCCCTAATTACAGGTGAATTCTCCATTAAACTTGCCTGAAATCAACTAAATTGTCAAAATAGAGATTTTATTATATAATGAATCAGGGAGTAAATGAAAAGGCTTACTAACCAGAAGGAAATGAAGAATCTTATCAAACCCTCTGGGAAAAGAGTTTTTTTTGTCCCAATGCTAAAGTAATCTTCTTGACTGAATCCCTTGTCAATAATGAAAAAACAGTCCCAGAATCCAGCACTACTTCTTTTGATTTCAGTCTAGCAAGATAGTACATGAACTTCTGCTGTGATTTTTTGGATCATCCTTGTACCACAACAAGAGATGAAACCTGTACAACATGCATAGCTTTACGATGGAAACAATGGAACCACAAAGTTAAGAAGGGATGAGGTTCAATGAGTACATACCAGCGAACAAAGAGATGCCCAAAATCAGCTCATGCGGCATCTTGAAGGTAATTCAAAAGCATCTGCTGGACAACCTCAAGTTTTGTAATTGAAAAAGCAACTTCAGTGTTTCTTCCTGAACGATTACGATCTTTTGTCCCATCATCTTTGCATTGTGACCTGCAGAGGCATATCTGACAGTGCCAACTTCGATTCGGAACTTCATATTTTCTTACTCCCATGCAATCAGCATGAAACATTTTCTGACAACCTTGACGTACAAAGAAATTTTTTTCAACCCCATCCATCTAAACAAACTGAGCATGCATTTTTTGAATCAGTCTGATCATCCCCATCCACACTAACCAACTCCTGTAGTATCCAAAATTTGTCCTTACTGCCAAGGGCAGAATCACGCTTCAACCTCGCAGCAATTGTGCCAAGAAGGTCAATCGCCCTGGTACGAGCACCTATGTCTTTAGATTTCAGCCCGGCATTCTGGAGTAACAAGACACAAAGAACCTACAAATAAATCGACTTCAAAATGGTGACATTTTAATACAATTAAAGATATTACAGTCTACACAAGTCACACATATATTTTACCTGCAGAATAGGAGCTGAAGCGGGATATTCAGGTAAATTCAACGTTGTCAGCAGAACAGTAACAAGATTCTCCATCATTACTTTCAACTCCGAAGCTTCCTGAGTCTTCGCACTTGCAAAACGTTGAAGTACACGAGTCCAAAAGTGGCAACACGCCTCTGTTGCTGCCTCATGGCCTTTAGTTGGATAATCGGCATCGAGAGAAAGTTCTAAGATGGAATTACCACTTGATTCCTGCCTTAATGGTTCAGGAAGGTTTGCACTATAGTGAACCAACTGAATGAGCTCAGCAGTGATCATTTGAATCTGCCTTTGCTCTTCATCAGGTAGGTGATAGGCTCTCAAAGCTCGCTTTGAGAACGGTAACTTCCAAAGCAACTGAATTAATTCACCTAACATAAGTCCGATGCTGAGTGTACGAATAGAATATCTGTACCACCAACAATGAAGATGCTACAAGTTTCAGAGTAAATAACATTAAAATGCATATGTGCATGAAAATAAGTATAGGTAAGTGCAAACAATAGCTGCCAAGAGGATATGAATAGTGCAGATCTGTACCCCACTGATTAAACCCATTACCTTCAGTTGCAAGAGCTGGATATCATCCACCCTGAATGTTGTAAAACTCGTTTCCACGCCAAACAAAGCTCATTATCTTTCAATTTCGAACTAACTTAAGTCAGTTCCGGTACACCAAGAGGTACCCTTCCAGGATGTGGCATCCAGGGGTAGGTGCCAGGGAGCTAGGCGGCATCTGGGCGCCCGCCTAGGCGGCTCTAGGCTGGCCAAGGCTGCGCTAGGCGGCCTAGGCGGCCCTAGGCGGCTCTAGGAAGGTCTAGGCGGCTCTAGGCGGCTCTAGGCGGGCATTTTGCCGTTGAGGCGTGGACGAAGGGCGGTTGAAGTGCGCATGATCCGCTGCTTGTTAGGAAGAAAGACGGGAAGAGAGAGAGAGAGAGAGAGAGAGAGAGAGAGATCGAGACAGAGAGAGGAAGGAGAAGCGATGTTGGGAAGAAGAAGGTATCTGACCTAATTTTAATATTTGTAAAGTATAGCCGGGCGGCTATACTGTTAATTTGAAGGGGAAAAAACACGGAGTATAAAGGCCCGGCCATACTATTTTTATACAGTATATTTGGACAGTATAGCCGCCTGACTATACTATTCATTGGAATAAATTTTTATAAAAAGGGATTATCGCCGCCCGGCTATACTATTAATTTTAGGAAAAGAAATTAAAAAATGGAGTATAACCGAGAGGGCGAATGCCATGAATATTGTGAAAAAAAAGCCATGTGTGTGGTGGTGGTGTGGTAATTTCAACCCTTGGTAGTTGGTATAGATATGCAATTATGAAGATCAATTAATTGGATGTTGCTCGAGAATTGCCGTTCCCAATTGATGACATCATTGCTTTTTTAAGTGAAAAGACATCATTGCTTTTTCAAGAGAGAAGAAGAAAGCAGAAGAATCCGATCTCTTTGTATTAGTTTGATGTCCAATATGTACCCAATCCAATTCATTCAGCCAATTAATATTGTAAAACAAAGGATACGTCATCCATATTCAAAAACAAACATTCCAAAAGAAGCTTCAAAATGTCAACTTGAAATGCTGCTTAAAGGAACACATTCGTCAGAACTACATTTGACTGCAACAATACCTTTCAACAATTTCAAACCCTAACAAGGAAATTAAACAAAAATGCTCTTCATCATAAATTCTTATAGAATATCAAGTGCAATATTTGAATAGAACGGTAATTTATCACGTTATAAAAAATTAATAAACACAAACCTTATCCTTATCGAGAGGAACCACAATCTCTTCAAGTGAACGAACATCCCTAACATCGAAGTTTCAAGCAGAGCGATACTTGAAATGGCAGACATAGGCTTCACTTCCAAATCATCTGTTATCATGTAGGTCACAGCCTTTCTCACAAACCCACCTCCCTTGCCACCGGCTGCAACCGCATGCCGAGCAACATAAGTCATGTGTTTGGAAATGAAGTTGTGGCACTTTGGACAAATGGCCTTAGGGTAGTTGGCCGCATAGCATACCTCTCCAGAGTAGGAGTAGCTTGATGGCTGACATGACTGACACGTCTACAACCTTTTACCGTTTGATTCACCGTCAGTCAACGCAGGAAGAAGTTGATAGGAGCCACCAATTGCCATTGGTAGCTTCTTAGGTTTTAGAAGGACATCCTTGTTGAGGTTGGGTTGCAAGTATGTGTCGTTTAGGTTTTCTAAGTTGCCGTAGAGTTTGCCTAAACAACCGACCATGCGTTTCTTAGAGAGGAGCCTAATCACAATGCCAACGGGTAGAGACAGAAGGGTGAAGAGAAAGTCAACAAAATCCTTGCTAGCTTTGGCGAAGAGAACTTTTTTATGCTTTTTGTCGATGAGGAGCTTCAAACGAACTGGAGAAGTAGATTGATCTGGTTTTGGGTTTGGATTTAGAGGGGGCCATTGAGGCAGAGTGAGTGAGATGGAGGACATGCGCGACACAACTATATATATATATGGAGAAGTATTAAGGACCTATTTATTTGTAGACCCACTACTTTGAGAAACTGAAACGTTTTCTCATTGTCATTTGGATGGACGTTATCTAAATTATACATTTTTTAATTGTCATTTTGGGGGAAATCTTCTTTTTTGCAATAGATTATTCAATTATCTTTATGAGATTACCTAGCATGACATAAAAAAAAAGACTCTCCCAGGCCCTAGGTGCCACGTGTCAAAAGAGAACAGAATATTATTATTTTTAAAATGGAAAACGAGTACTGCCGAACAGCTATACCTTTCTAAAATTTCTAAAAATAGTATAGCCGGTTGGCTATACTTATATATATATATATATATAGACCCGCCCATGGCCTAAGCCCACGTGTCAAAGCGGTAAAGCCGGCCGGCTATACTATTTGTTAATGCAAAAGGAGTATAGCCGAATGGCGGTACCATTTTTTGAAAACATTTAGGGAAAACAGAGTATAGCCGTTTGGCTATACCCTTTTTTTTTAAAGCATATATCATTTTTATTCAGTAATACATGTATAATACGTGAAGTTTGTGTGTCTTACTGAAATTTTTACAAAAAATACGTGTATTAAACATGAGAAATACATGTATAGTACATTATTAAATGTGAAAGTGCTAAAATCTTTACACAGGTAGTAACTTTAGAAAAGTAAAAAATCAAAAAGGGACGATAAATACTCTAGTAATAGCATAATTGAAATGGATTGGGCTCTTGGGCTATGGAGAAATTGAATTAAGACACCCAAATGATTTCATAAAAGACTTAATAAATAGAAATTAATTACTTTGTGTTCTTTTAATTCAATCTTTTTGTATTAAATAGTAATTAAAATATAATTACTAAGCAAAGTGATTAAAAAACGCTAAGATATTACTGGATTACGTATAGTAAATTAAAGAAGTAGGCCAAAAAACAAAAGTAAAGAAACAAATTTTATATTTTTAAAAAATAAAAAATAAAAAAGAGTGTAGCCGGCTATACTATGAATATCTTATAAAAAAGACTCTCCCAGGCCCTAGGTGCCACGTGTCAAAAGAGAACATAATATTATTATTATTTTAAAACGGAAAACGAGTACTGCCGCACGTCTTTACCTTTTTTAAAATTAAAAAAATAGTATAGCCGATTGGCTATACTTCTATATATATATAAAGACCCGCCCAAGGCCTAAGACCACGTGTCAAAGAGGTACAGCCGGCCGGCTATACTATTTTCTAATGCAAAAGTAGTATAGCCAAACGGCGGTACTATTTTGAGTACAGCCGTGCGGCTATACCTTTTTTTTTTCTTTAAGCATATATCATTTTTATTCAGTAATACATGTATAACACGTGAAGTTTGTGTGTCTTACTGATATTTTTACAAAAAATACGTGTATTAAACATGAGAAATACGTGTACAATACATTATTAAATGTGAAAGTGCTAAAATCTTTACACGGGTTGTACCTTTAGAAAAGTAAAAAATCAAAAAGGGACGATACATAATCGAGTAAGGGCATAATTGAAATGGATTGGGCTCTTCGGCTATGGAGACATTGAATTAAGACACCCAAACGATTTCACAAAAGACTTAATAATTAGAAATTAATTACTTTGTGTTCTTTTAATTCAATCTTTTTGTATTAAGTAGTAATTAAAATATAATTACTAAGCAAAGTGATTAAAAAACGCTAAGATATTACTGGATTACGTATAGTAAATTAAAGAAGTAGGCCAAAAAACAAAAGTAAAGAAACAAATTTTTTATTTTTAAAAAATAAAAAATAAAAAAGAGTGTAGCCGGCTATACTATGAATATCTTATAAAAAAGACTCTCCCAGGCCCTAGGTGCCACGTGTCAAAAGAGAACATAATATTATTATTTTTTTAAAATGGAAAACGAGTACTGCCGCACGTCTTTACCTTTTTTAAAATTAAAAAAATAGTATAGCCGATTGGCTATACTTCTATATATATATAAAGACCCGCCCATGGCCTAAGACCACGTGTCAAAGAGGTACAGCCGGCCGGCTATACTATTTTTTAATGCAAAAGTAGTATAGCCGTGCGGCTATACCTTTTTTTTTCTTTAAGCATATATCATTTTTATTCAGTAATACATGTATAACACTGAAGTTTGTGTGTCTTACTGATATTTTTACAAAAAATACGTGTATTAAACATGAGAAATACGTGTACAATACATTATTAAATGTGAAAGTGCTAAAATCTTTACATGGGTAGTAACTTTAGAAATGTAAAAAATCAAAAAGGGACGATACATAATCGAGTAAGGGCATAATTGAAATGGATTGGGCTCTTCGGCTATGGAGACATTGAATTAAGACACCCAAACGATTTCACAAGAGACTTAATAATTAGAAATTAATTACTTTGTGTTCTTTTAATTCAATCTTTTTGTATTAAATAAGAATTAAAATATAATTACTAAGCAAAGTGATTAAAAAATGCTAAGATATTACTTGATCACGTAGAGTAAATTACGGAAGTAGGCCAAAAAACAAAAGTAAAGAAACAAATTTTATATTTTTAAAAAATAAAAAATAAAAGAGATTATAGCCGTTCGGCTATACTATGTATATCATAAAAAAAGACGCTCCTAGGCCCTAGGTGCCACGTGTCAAAAGAGAACAGAATATTATTTTTTTAAAAGGGAAAATGTGTACAGCCGCACGGCTACAACGTTTTTAAAATTCAAAAAATAATATAGCCAGTTGGCTATACTTCTATATAAATATAAATATATATATATATATATATATAAAGAACCGCCTTTGGCCTAAGCCCAAGTGTCAAAGAGGTAACGCCGGCCGGCTATATTATTTTTTGAAAACAATTAGGTAAAACAGAATACAGCCGTACGGCTATACCTCTTTTCTTTTAAAAAAAGTATATATCATTTTTATTCAGTAATACATGTATAATATGTGAAGTTTGTGCGTCTTACTGAAAGTTTTGCAAAAAATACGGGTATTAAACCTGAGAAATACGTGTATAGTACATTATTAAATGTGAAAGTGCTGAAATCTTTATACGGGTAGTAACTTTGAAAAAGTAAAAAATCAAAAAGGGACGATAGATACTCCAGTAATGGCATAATTGAAATGGATAGGCCTCTTGGGCTATGGAGAAATTGAATTAAGACACCTAAACGATTTCACAAAAGACTTAATAAATAGAAATTAATTACTTTCTCTTCTTTTTCTTCAATCTTTATATATTAAATAATAATTAAAATATAATTACTGAGCAAAGTGATTATACGGGTAGTAATTTTGGAAAAGTAAAAAATCAAAAAGGGACGATAGATACTCGAGTAATGGCATAATTGAAATGGATAGGCCTCTTGGGCTATGGAGAAATTGAATTAAGACACCCAAACGATTTCACAAAAGACTTAATAAATAGAAATTAATTACTTTGTGTTCTTTTTCTTCAATCTTTATATATTAAATAATAATTAAAATACAATTACTAAGCACAGTGATTAAAAAACGCTAAGATATTACTTGATTACGTATAGTATGTATATCATAAAAAAGATTATAGCCGTGCGGCTATACTATGTATATCATAAAAAAAGACGCTCCCAGGCCCTAGGTGCCACGTGTCAAAAGAGAACATAATATAATTTTTTTTTAAACGGAAAACCAGTACAGCCGCACGGCGATACCTTTTTTAAAATTCAAAGAATAGTATAGCCGGATGGCTATACGTCTATATATATATATAAATATATAAAAATACCCCGCCTTTGGCCTAAGCCCACGTGTCAAAGAGGTAAAGCCGGCCGGCTGTACTATTTTTTAATGCAAAAGACATATAACCGAACGGCTGTACTATTTTTTAAAAACAATTAGGGAAAACAGAGTACAGCCGTACGGCTATACCCTTTTTTTAAAAAAAAAGTGCATATCATTTTTATTCAGTAATACATGTATAATACGTGAAGTTTGTGTGTCTTACTGAAATTTTTGCAAAAAATATGCGTATTAAACATGAGAAATACGTGTATAGTATATTATTAAATGTGAAAGTGCTGAAATCTTTATACGGGTAGTAACTTTGGAAAAGTAAAAAATCAAAAAGGGACGATAGATACTCGAGTAATGGCATAATTGAAATGGATAGGCCTCTTGGGCTATGGAGAAATTGAATTAAGACCCCCAAACGATTTCACAAAAGACTTCATAAATAGATATTAATTACTTTGTGTTCTTTTTCTTCAATCTTTATATATTAAACAATAATGAAAATATAATTACCAAGTAATGTGATTAAAAAAGGCTAAGATATTACTCGATTACGTATATTAAATTAAAGAAGTAGGCCAAAAAACAAAAGTAAAGAAACAAATTTGAAATTTTTAAAAAAAATAAATAAAAAAGGGTATAGCCGTTCGGCTATACTATGTATATCTTAAAAAAAATACAAATTTATAAATAAACCCAATCCTAGACATGTATTTATAAAAAAACCCAAGCACTATTTAAACATAGAAACACACCCAAAATTAACCCCAAAGCCAATAATTGTATATTTTTTGAGTATGTTTATAAATGAGTTTTGAGTGTGTGTAATGATGGGTTTTGGGTGTGTTTATAAAGTGTTTTGGGTGTTGGGTTTTTTTATAATTTCAGCCTCCATTTTGGGTGTTTTAGTGAAACTCTCTAAAAAAAAAGGCTCGCAGGCCCTAGGTGCCACGTGTCAAAAGTGCACAGAATATTTTTTTTAAAAGGGAAAATTCGAAAAATAGTATAGCCGGGTGGCTATACTACTATATTTCTATATATATATATATATATGTAAAGACCCGTCCATTTTATTTTTAGAATTGAAAAAAGATAACATGGGTAGTTATGTTCCATAAAAATAAGACATATTACTTGGTTTTATTTTTAATTTTTTTTAATACGAATAAAATATGAATTTACCATATTATCCTCATTTAATTAATAATTTCAATTCTTAATGTTTGAATTAACCAAGGACATTTTCTGGTATTTTTAATGTTTCACCATTCTCTATCTTTTGCTTTATATATATAGATTTTCTTAGTGAATAATTAGTATTTAAATATTTTTTTTTAAAAATTACTATTTATAATTTATGAAGTTAATTAAAACATAGCAATACTAATTATTTACTAAAGAAATGATAATTAAAACATAATTATTAATTAAAGTAATTAAATAGGGCTAAGAGATTATTTAATTAATAAAAAGAAACAATAGCTTTACTCATGAAAAAACAAAAAAGACCTAGTATTGCCGACCAGCTATACAATTTCTTTGGAAGAAGAAAAAAATCGCATATAGCCATGCGGCGATACTATTTATGAAGACAAAAAAATCAGCCGCATAGCTCTTAGTCGCCCATGTGTCAAAAACGGTATAGCCGAGCAGCTATTTCTAAAGGAACACGAATACAAGCGGGTATAGCCGAACGCTTATACTATTTCTTTTTAAAATCAAAAGACCCCGTCCAGCGAGTTGGTGCCCGCGTGTCAAAATAAGTATCGCCGCCCGGCTATACTATTTTAAAAAAATTTAAAAACCGAGTATAGCCGTCCGGCCATACTATTTTTTTAAAAAAGGCAGGGTTCCCTAGCGATTAGGTGCCCACGTGTCGGCTATACTATTTTTAATTAGAAAAAATTCCTAGCACCGGCTATACTACGAATTGATATAAGGAGATGCAGTTAAACTGACTCTTTAGATAAGGCTGAAGAGTGACCACAAACTGGGAAGGGTCAGAAGCTGGTGCACGAAGTGTTGATCCACAACACAGAATGCGTGCAAAGCTAGCATATATGGAAACGTCCGCCTCTCTCCTTCCTGGATAGTCATTTCCTCTACCTGACAAATAAGAATTTCTGAACATTCAGATTTAAATATCAACCAAATTGTTTTGGCAAGTCAAGAAGATGGGGGCAAAAAACCTGCAATATCCTTTCCAGTAAGAACTTGCACATTAACTCACAGCGCTTGCGTACAGATGCAAGTGAGACAGGGTTTATCCCAATAGCTTTAACTGATTGGGGAAAAAAATCAAGGGCTAAGTTGCTTTTAATGACAGTCACAAGAAGTTGATGACTTGGCATCCTCCTCAACATCTCAACAATCTGTTCAGTTTTTTTAGCCACCTCCAATGGAACAGAGCTACCATCTCCAAAGAACTGAGTTTGTGAACCAGTAGGTTCCTCAAACCAGAACTCATAAAATTTCTTGCAAACAATATCCTGTGGAAGAGGAAAAGAATAAAAACTGCGATCTAGCCAAGGACAAACAAATTTTTATACTTATATTTTACATGTCATCAATCCTTAATCCAACACATTCATTGCTTCACAATTACCTTTATACTTGATTCATCGTCGCCAGTACGGGAGATGATAGCAATGCAAGCTTTTGTAAATTCGGAGAAGTTTGCATTTGAAACGCACACATCTCGTATGATTTTGATAGATCGTTTTCGAACACCTACTCCAGTATCTTTCATTCTCTCAGCAACCTACTCAAAATACTAAAAGAAAATGTGGAGAAGATGAAGCAAAATGCATTAATAGAGAATCTACATAGAACTTAGTAGGTTTAGAGATCAATTGAGTACACCTTCAAACCAACATCAGGATGAGAAGCAATATGCCTCCCTACAAGTTCCAGTGCTGCTTCTCTGACAGAAATTGCGGAATCACAAAACCTTCCTTCAACAGCCGATTGAACGCGTTTGTCTCCTAGCACCTGCGGATCAGCTTCTACAATTATACTGACCTGCTCATCACATTAAGATATTAAGACATTAAATTCTGCCAACATAGCCATAAAATGAATTCTCAATTTCAATTTCAAGGATTAGAAGTCCATAAATATATATATATTTTTTGCTTACCGCTCGTAAAGCCTTGGCCCTAATTACAGGTGAATTCTCCATTAAACTTGCCTGAAATCAACTAAATTGTCAAAATAGAGATTTTATTATATAATAAATCAGGGAGTAAATGAAAAGGCTTACTAACCAGAAGAAAATGAAGAATCTTATCAAACCCTCTGGGAAAAGAGTTTTTTTTGTCCCAATGCTAAAGTAATCTTCTTGACTGAATCCCTTGTCAATAATGAAAAAACAGTCCCAGAATCCAGCACTACTTCTTTTGATTTCAGTCTAGCAAGATAGTACATGAACTTCTGCTGTGATTTTGGATCATCCTTGTACCACAACAAGAGATGAAACCTGTACAACATACATAGCTTTACGACGGAAACAATGGAACCACAAAGTTAAGAAGGGATGAACCTCAAGTTTTGTAATTGAAAAAGCAACTTCAGTGTTTCTTCCTGAACGATTACGATCTTTTGTCCCATCATCTTTGCATTGCATTGTGACCTACAGTAAGATTGTAAAAAAAGAAGTTGCTTCCTGCAGAGGCATATCTGACAGTGCCAACTTCGATTCGGAACTTCATATTTTCTTACTCCCATGCAATCAGCATGAAACATTTTCTGACAACCTTGACATACAAAGAAATTTTTTTCAAGCCTACCATCTAAACAAACTGAGCATTCATTTTTTGGATCAGTCTGATCATCCCCATCCACACTAACCAACTCCTGTAGTATCCAAAATTTGTCCTTACTGCCAAGGGCAGAATCACGCTTCAACCTCGCAGCAATTGTGCCAAGAAGGTCAATCGCCCTGGTACGAGCACCTATGTCTTTAGATTTCAGCCCGGCATTCTGGAGTAACAAGACACAAAGAACCTACAAATAAATCGACTTCAAAATGGTGACATTTTAATACAATTAAAGATATTACAGTCTACACAAGTCACACATATATTTTACCTGCAGAATAGGAGCTGAAGCGGGATATTCAGGTAAATTCAACGTTGTCAGCAGAACAGTAACAAGATTCTCCATCATTACTTTCAACTCCGAAGCTTCCTGAGTCTTCGCACTTGCAAAACGTTGAAGTACACGAGTCCAAAAGTGGCAACACGCCTCTGTTGCTGCCTCATAGCCTTCAGTTGGATAATCGGCATCGAGATAAAGTTCTAAGATGGAATTACCACTTGATTCCTGCCTTAATGGTTCAGGAAGGTTTGCACTATAGTGAACCAACTGAATGAGCTAAGCAGTGATCATTTGAATCTGCCTTTGCTCTTCATCAGGTAGGTGATAGGCTCTCAAATCTCGCTTTGAGAACGGTAACTTCCAAAGCAGCTGAATTAATTCATCTAACATAAGTCCGATGCTGAGTGTACGAATAGAATATCTGTACCACCAACAATGACGGTGCCAGGGAGCTAGGCGGCGTCTGGGCGCCCGCCTAGGCGGCTCTAGGCTGGCCAAAGCAGCGCTAGGAGGCCTAGGCGGCCCTAGGCGGCTCTAGGAAGGTCTAGGCGGCCCTAGGCGGCTCTAGGCGGGCATTTTGCCGTTGAGGCGTGGACGAAGGGCGGTTGAAGTCCGCATGATCCGCTGCTTGTTAGGAAGAAAGACGGGGAGAGAGAGAGAGAGAGAGAGAGAGAGAGAGACAGAGAGAGGAAGGAGAAGCGATGTTGGGAAGAAGAAGGTATCTGACCTAATTTTAATATGTGTAAAGTATAGCCGAACGGCTATACTATTAATTTGAAGGGAAAAAAACACGGAGTATAAAGGCCCGGCCATACTATTTTTATACAGTATATTTGAACAGTATAGCCGCCTGGCTATACGATTCATTGGAATAAAGTTTTTAAAAAAGGGATTATCGCCGCCCGGCTATACTATTAAGTTAGGAAAAGAAATTAAAAAATGGAGTATAACCGCTCGGCTGTACTCTTTTAATTTGGGTTATCAAAAAGAGGGCGAATGCCATGGATATTGTGAAAAAAAAGCCATGTGTGTGGTGGTGGCGGTGTGGTAATTTCAACTCTCGGTAGTTGGTATAGATATGCAATTATGAAGATCAATTAATTTGATGTTGCTCGAGAATTGCCGTTCCCAATTTATGACATCATTGCTTTTTTAAGTGAAAAGAAATCATTGCTTTTTCAATAGAGAAGAAGAAAGCAGAAGAATCTGATCTCTTTGTATTAGTTTGACGTCCAATATGTACCCAATCCAATTCATTCAGCCAATTAATATTGTAAAACAAAGGATAAGTCATCCATATTCAAAAACAAACATTCCAAAAGAAGCTTCAAAATGTCAACTTGAAATGCTTCTTAAAGGAACACATTCGTCAGAACTGTATTTGACTGCAACGATACCTTTCAACAATTTCAAACCCTAACAAGGAAATTAAAAAAAAATGCTCTTCATCATAAATTCTTATAGAATATCAAGTGCAATATTTGAATATATAGAATGGTAATTTGTCACGTTAGAAAAAATTAATAAACACAAACCTTATCCTTATCGAGAGGAACCACAATCTCTTCAATTGAACGAACATCCCTAACATCGAAGTTTTTAAGCAGAGCAATACTTGAAATGACAGACATAGGCTTCACTTCCAAATCATCTGTTATCATGTAGGTCACAGCCTCTCTCACAAACCCACCTCCCTTGCTGCCGGCTGCAACTGCCTGCCGAGCAACGTAAGTCAAGTGTTTGGAAATGAAGTTATGGCACTTTGGACAAATGGCCTTAGGGTCGTCGGCCACGTAGCATACCTCGCCAGAGTAGGAGTAGCTTGACGGTTGACATGACTGACACGTGTACAACCTTTTACCGTTTGATTCACCGTCAATCAACGTAGGAAGAAGTTGATGGGGGCCACCAATTGGCATTGGCAGCTTCTTAGGTTTTAGAAGGACATCCTTGTTGAGGTTGGGTTGCAAGTATGTGTCATTTAGGTTTTCTAAGCTGCCGTAGAGTTTGCCTAAACAACCGACCATGCGTTTCTTAGAGAGGAGCCTAATCACAGTGCCGACGGGTAGAGACAGAAGGGTGAAGAGAAAGTCAACAAATCCTTGCCAGCTTCGGCAAAGAGAACTTTTTTTATGCTTTTTTTTTATGAGGAGCTTCAAACTAACTGGAGAAGTAGAGATTGATTTGGTTTTGGGTTTGGATTTAGAGGGGGCCATTGAGGCAGAGTGAGTGAGATGGAGGACATGTGCGACGCAACCGTATATATATGGAGAAGTATTAAGGACCTATTTATTTGTAGACCCACTACTTTGAGAAACTGAAACGTTTTCTAATTTTCATTTCTCATTTAGATGGACCTTATTTAAATTATACATTTTTTAATTGTCATTTTGGGGGAAATCTTCTTTTTTGCGATAGATTATTCAATTATCTTTATGAGATAACCTAGCATGACATTTCATATTTTTATTCATGGTTTCACGAGATGTTGTAGGATATTTATTCTCGAACCTTGGGGGTGAAGGCTAACCAATCAAATTAAGCAAACAATTTCTTCATTAAACAAAGGGAAATGAGAAAATATTGAAATCCGAAATAGTCATTACATAAATCCAAAATAAGGAAACCTCCAAATTGATATCATAAAATACGAATCTCATTTCACGAAGCACAAATATTTAGGCCATCTTATTACCCAGGAACGCATTAGTAAGGACTGTACTAGTCTCCAACGATGCCTTCAGCAACTTCAAACCCTACCAAGAGAAAAAACAGAACATATAATATATGTCAAATTATAAGATTTATGTTAGGTAGTCCATGTTGTGTTCAGGTAGGCAAAGTACTAAAAACTTTATATTAATATTAATCGAACATATAAATTAGAGATTAAATCTAAACAGGAAATGATTTATGCAGATAGAAGTGAAGAAAAAAACATTATGACATGCAAGAGCAAAATGACTAACAAACTATATATTATAAAAGGGTACACATCTAGGAAGGAAAGGCCACATACAAACAAAATTGATGATGCTAGTGAACCTAAGTTGCCCGATTGTATGGTAAAGTAAGATTGACAAAACAGAACATGTATATAGAAACATGGGAAATGTGGGAGGAATAATTCAGACCTCATCCATGCCAAGATCAACCACCTTCTCCTCAAGAGCACCAACCTCCTTCACATTGAACTGGTTCAGCATGGCAATACTTGAAATGGTGGACATTAGCTTCACCTCCAAGTTATCCATGATCAAGTATGTCACTATGCCCTGTCAGAATAGCAATATTGAGCAGAATTTTAACAAAGAGAAGCAGAGAATCTTAGGAGAAGAATTGATGTTTCAACATAGTACAGTGACGGTTTTTATACTAGCTTTGTCAAAGCTTTGTGTACATGTTTCTAACCTCTTAACCTCTCTAACTTCTTTAATAGAACTGCCTAACAGTCTTAACAATATTTCAACAACTCTCTTCTTCAATCTTTTGACATGTGGCAGAATTAGGACCTTTGATATCTTTACATGCCCCCTCAATCTCATGCATGGAGGAGCCAAGCATGAGATTGGAACAATGATGCTGGAATAAAGGGATAAACAGCCCCTTAGTGAGAATGTCAGCAAATTGGTCTGCAGAAGAGACATGTTGCACAAGTAAATCACCTCGAATGACTCGTTCTCGGACAAAATGATAATCAATATGTAGATGTTTCATTCCTGGGTTGGAAGAGAGAGCAATAGCAGAGATATTGTCACAATGAATTAAAGGAGGAACATGTAATGGTACATGCAGATCACAGAACAACTGTCTGATCCATGCTAGTTCAGTAGCAGCAATAGCCAAAGCCCTATATTCGGCCTTAGTGGATGAACGAGAGACAGAATGTTGCTTCTTAGAAGCCCAAGAAATAGGACTAGAGCCAAAGTAAACAATAAATCTCGAAATAGATCTGTGATCATTAGGATCCCCAGCCCAGTCAGCATCACTATAAGCGTGCAGATGAAGAAGACTAGGCTTAAACCAAATGCCAAAAATCAATAGTTCCTTTCAAATACTTCAGGATTCTCTTAACGGCCACAACATGAGATTCTATGGGATTATGCATAAATTGACAAGCTTGATTCACTAAGAAGGCAATATCTGGCCTTGTTAAGAATGATATCATCAACATAGAGAAGCAAAACCACAGTACCAAGCGACACATGTTAAATAAAGAGAGATGGATCTGCATTTGAAGCTTGAAAACCCAAGCTTGGTAAGAAGCTAGTAAATCTTTCATTTCAGGCACAAGGAGGCTATTTTAAACCATATAAGGACTTCGTGAGTCTGCAAACAAAGTCAGAAGGATGATGCTTACTCTCAAAGCATTGAGTCATATAAACCTTCTCTTGAAGAACACCATGCAAGAATGCATTTTTAACATCAAGTTGCCGTAAGGACCACTGAAACTGAGCAGCAAGAGCAAGAACTAATAGAACAGTGGTTGGTTTAACCACCGGACTAAAGGTTTCATAATAATCAATACCCTCCTCTTGACTAAATCCCTTAGCAACCAAGCGAGCCTTATGCCTAGCTATAGAACCATCTGCATTCTTCTTGATCCTATAAACCCATTTACAGCCAACAAGATTTTTATGAGCTGGGAGAGGAACCAAATCCCAAGTGCCTTAAGCATGAAGAGCCTCAATCTCCTCCCTCATTGCAGATTGCCATTCTGGTGATTGAGAAGCCACCTTGAAAGAACTAGGCTCAATTGTAGACAAATCAACAGATGTAGAAGCAGAAAAAGCCTTCCTCTTGGAGATGCCATTCTTAGACCGGGTTGTCATAGGATGCAGATTTACAGGTGGCAGAGGCAAGACAACACGAAGATTTTCAGGCTGAAAATCAGGATCCACAAGGAGAGGAGATTGTGTAGCAAATTGTGTAGCAAAAGGGGGGTATGGGCGGGCGTTTGGCCGTTAAGGTGTGGACGAAGGGCGGTTGAAGCGTGCAGGATCCGCTGCTTGTTAGGAAGAATGACGGAGAGAGAGAGAGAGAGATCGAGACAGAGAGGAAGGAGAAGGCGACGCTGGGAAGAAGAAGATATCTGACCTAATTTTTAATATAACTAACGGGTTGGGTTTTGGAAAATGGCCTTAAACATTGTATTAAAATGGGCCTTTTTTTTTGGCCGGGCGGCTATAGTATAGCAAAAATGAAAAAAATGATTCATTCAACAGCAAAAGTACATGACATGAGTCTCAAAACATCTTGGAGTCACACAAGCTTAGAAGTTCTAGCAAAAGTCAGTTCAGCTACCTTAACAGAAGAAACTATCCTCTGAAGGAGCATGGTGAAGTCGATTTCATCAATTTAACTGACTGATTACCACAAAAAAAAACTCCAAAATAACAGTGTAAGACACTCTTTATGAATCCCTAGTCCGAACTCAGATGCACAACAGTCAAACAAGCTCCAAAATTCCATTTCCAGAATTGATCAGGAGCAAAGTTGACATGTTTACTCCTCTTTCTTCCCAAGGAAGACATTGGTGAGAACTGCGTTAGACTCCAATGATGCCTTGAGCAATTTCTGACCCTAAAAAATTAATGAAAAGAAAATGATCATTTTGAACAAAATAACAATTCCTCCAACCAAAACAAAAAACAAAAGAATATAATAGCAGCTCAACTGTGGAAAAGCAGCTTTGATTAAAAGCCTACATGATAATGTATGATGGTTGTATTATCTGATGATCGAGTGTGTAGAGTAGAAATCAAAGCATAAAAAGTGTGTCTATCCTATCCTTCCCAACTTGAATCAATTAAGAAAAGAATAAAGCGTATATATATACATGGAGAAGTAAACAAGATTATTAGAGCATCCACAATGATGCTCTCTATTTCTTAGCTAAAATTTAGCTAAAAATATAAGAAAGCTATTTTAGGAGCTCTCTAAAAAATTTCATCTCCAACCATACTCCCTAATTTGGAGAGTAATAAATGTTATAACTCTTTTTTGATTGGTCTATCTCTATTAATAAAATAAAATAAAAAATAGTTAGCATTAAATTAAGGTTTGAAATACTCATTAAATAAAGCAGCATTAAATTATAGGGAGTCACTAGGAGTCTTTTCTCTCTCTCCTCAGATTTAGGAGCTCTTAGAGGACTCCCTATTTTAGGAGATAGATAGGGAGCATAGTTGGAGTTGCATTTTTACAATGCCTCCCTAAAATTTGTCTAAGGAGGTGGTTTAGGGAGCCCATTGTGGATGCTCTTAAGGGCCTATTATTTGTAGACCCACTATTTTGAGAAACTGAAACGTTTTTTAATTGTCATTTGGATGGACCTTATCCAAATTATACGTTTTTTAATTGTCATTTTGGGGGAAATCCTCTTCTTTTTTGGGATAGATTATTCAATTATCTTTATGAGATAACCTAGCATGACATTTCATATTTTTAGTGCCAGTTTGGCATTGCTTAGGGCTCGTTTGGGAGTGCTTCTTCCCGAAGCGCTTATGTTAGTAGCGCTTATGCCAGTAGCGTTTATGACATAAGCGCTTCTACAAAGAAGTAGTTTGTCGTTTGGATGTCACATTTAGAAGTGCTTTTACACTATATAAAAGCGCTTTTGATATTTTGTTGAGTGTTTTGTTTTCTCTGTTTCGATATCCTTCTCCTCACTGTCTTTCTCTCTCTTTCTCTTTCCCTCATATATAAAATCATTCATTTTCATTCATTTTATTATTGTATTGTATCTATGGCCATGTGACATTGCAGCAAAGATTTTCTACGAACCCTACACACAGTTGGGCTTACTTCTTCTTCTGCTTCAAACTCAGAAGCCGATAACATTCCATATAAAATAGCAATCAACGTAAGCTAACCCATCTCTTGTTATGTTTGTTCATTTTGGTTCTTCATTGGTTCTTCATTTTGGTTCTTCATTGTCTTTCTTACATTGTTCTATGTTCTGGTTGTCAAAGACTAATCTTGATGTATCCTTTTATTTTGGGTTTTTGTAAGAGAGGTTTAGGCTCAGAACGATGTCGTTGAATATAGTACATGATGGTAATGGATTGCCCTGAATCATACTCACGGAGCCAACTGGGTCTTCGGGAGAGGTTGGTTGGTTTCAATAAATTATTATGTTCTCTCTGTTTTGCTGCCCCTGCACTTGTAATTTTCCTTGTTCATTTTGGCAGATTATAGATATGACGGCCTAAAGTTGAAATTTTTATCATTGGTCCATGATATAGATGTAAAAGGGGTGTCAAATTAATGAACAAGAGTATTTTAATTGGGGTGTTTATCAGATATTCTCAATTTAAAAAAAAAGAAAAAAGAAAAAAGAAAGGGTATTTTGGCATTTTAAAAAATTAAATATGGGTATTTCCGGCATTTTAAAAGTTTCATTAAAAGGAGCCAAGTGCTTCCCTTGTTTTTGTCCTACAACGCTTTTAAGAAGAAGCACCTCTCAAGTGCTTCTTCCAAAACCACTCCAAGTGCTTTTGGATCTCACCCAAAGCGCTTTTGCAATTTTTGCCAAATACGATTTTTAAAATACTGAAGCGCTTTCACCTATTTAGAAGCGCTTTTCGCTGCTCCAAAAGCACTCCCAAACGAGCCCTTATTTGGGGTGATAAGTGATTTTTAAATAAATTTGAGAAGCCCAACCCGTTTGTTAAACTGTGAGAAAATCACTTATTGTTAAAAATTGATGTGAGAGAAAGCTATAAGGGAAAGCAGCTAATGAGGTGCTTTCATTTTCTGATTATGCAAGAATCAGTTTCGAAGAGGCGTTGGGTTTAATGATTATGCGGCAATCATTTTTTGATTATGCGTAAAATCAATACCAACAACACTTTTAACAAAAAAATTTCCAAACACCAAATTGCTTTCTCTCACAACTGATTTTACCCACAGCAAATCTGACAGCTATTATTTTCACAGCACAGCAATGTCAAACTGGGGGTTCACGAGATGTTGCAAGATATTCATTCTCGAACCTTGAGGGTGTTAGGAAATAAGTTTGTATAATATCAATACTGTTGTAATTAGGATTTACTTTCCTAGTAGGTTTCCTAGATTGGAGGACTTGTTTCCTTGTACACTAAATATTGCCACCTCCTCTTATATTAGAGATTTCATTGTATTCTTTTGTGGGTCAGCAATATTCATAATAAACATGAAGACTTTTAAGATGTATATGCCTCGTTGGAATTTCTTTCATGAATCTGTTTTCTTAAAAAAGTATTTTCTTAGTATTGGACTATATCTAGACATGATTAATATTGTTCTCTTTGTTCTCCGGCGAGTTTGTAATATTTTTTCTGCTATTATTTTTTCTGAAAGTAGACTCTTTCTTCCCTTTATCTTTTATATTTACTATTATATTTTATAGAAAGTATGTGAGAGAGTGGCGATGGTATTTTATTATAACAAGTAAATGGGGCCCAATATATACTTCTTCATTTTGAAGTTAGCAATATTTCCTTGTTGGGAAGAACACGTATATTTTGCCTACCTATTTGCATTTTCCCTTGGAGCATGAAAATACTGATGTGTCAAAGGCAAATGAGGTTTGCCTACTCATTTGCCGCTTCACTTGGAGATGCTTTGCACTTCCATATTCGTCTCATTGGTTTATTTAAAGTTGAGTGCTGTTATTTCCACCCTCTCGTCATATTTCCCCACCCACCTTATCTTCTCACCCACCTTATAAATTTGAATAAACACAAACCTATCTTTTCACCCACCATTATTCCTAAAATACCCTTTAATTGTATTTCCATATTTGCTATTACAATAATAAAAAAATTCTATAAAAACAATAAAAAAATTCTTCAATTAGCCTATCCCCACCCCAACCTTCTCCTCTGGTGAAAACCCAACAGTCAACACCATGACCTTACAAACATTTAACGTTCCTTCTTCAACCAAAGAAAAACTCTCCTTCTACTGCCAACGAAAAAAACACTCCCCTCTCCCAAAACAAAAAAAAAAAAAAAAAAAAAAAAAAAAAAAAAAAAAAACTCACACTTACTCTATCTGTTCCAAAAATAAAATCACATTTGCTTTATTTTATTTTTAATTTCAGAGACTGCAATAGAGGTGTTATTTGAGTTTGAAATAAGGAAAGAAAGAGACAAAGGAAGAAAAGGAAATGGCCATGAATTTCTATCATTTTTAGAGTTGCCCAAAAGCTCAAAGTCGATGTAATTATGGGACTACTTGAGCTTTAGAGTTAGAGAAGAAAGAAAAACAATTGGATTATGTGTGATTGAAAATAAAAATGGGGTTATGAGTTTGCAAGTTTAGGTTTTTTCTTCTAGTTCCTAATTTTTGAAGAACGCAGGGAGAGAAAGATGTTGATTTCGTTTCGTTTGGTGGGTTGGGAATGAAGATGATTGTGGATTTCGAACAAAAAGAAAAAGAAAAAGAAAATATGGGTGTGGGTGCGTGTAAGAGATTGAGAGAGTTGTCCTCATAAGTCATTTTACAAAAAAGTAAATTTATCTTTAAAATTTAGAACATAAGCTTGATGGGAAAATAGGACATATTGGTGAAAATAGCAGCACTCTTAAAGTTTTGGTTCCTCTGAGTCCAGGAAAATAAAGAACAAAATCCATTCCTCTTGTGGGGTTGCTCTCTATGTACAAGCCCAATTTACAATGTGATTTTACAAGATTGGGTTGGCTTGATTTGAACAGTTATTTATGTGGAGCTACATATGTGCCCAGCCCAAATTTTGAATATTTCAAAACAAACCTATAAAAAATTAACTTTCATGGTTTAAAAATATATATATATATATTTTTTTTA